CTCTCGCGCGCGCGCTCTCTCCCTCGCTCTCTCCCTCTCGCTCTTTCTTTCTTTCTCTCTCTCTCGCGCGCGCTCTCTCCCTCGCTCTCTCCCTCTCGCTCTTTCTTTCTTTCTCTCTCTCTCGCGCGCGCTCTCTCCCTCGCTCTCTCCCTCTCGCTCTTTCTTTCTTTCTCTATCTCTCTCCTTATACCTCTCTTTTCCCCAACTAAAGGCAGCGGCCCGAATGGAGGCGTATATCTCACGTGTAACCCGCTGTAGTCATATTACGGCCTATCTCGCTGCTGCTGCTGCTGCTGCTGCTGATGTGGCCAAACCTCCCGTATAGGCTTCATAGGTGGTGTACGAGTTTACATGCATACTGTACTCTCCCCCTCCCTCTCCCTCCCTCCCCCTCTCTCTCTTTCTCTCCCTCCGGCACGCGCGTTGGCGGTCCCTGTAGCCTGCCGGCAGTGTCAGAGCAGTATATATATATATAAATGTATATGTATATTTAGCAAGAGAACGTGTGGCAGGCAGCTAGGGTATAGCGCCCGCACAGCTGTGACGCCTGCGTCCGTGCTGCTGCTGCTGCTGCTACTACTACTTTTGCTGCTTCTGTTGGCAGCGTGGCTCCGGAACACAGATGTGTGGCTTTCTATGGCCAACATCGCGCAAGACATCAAAGTAATCTGAATAGTGATCCCGTGCTAGTCCAACTACAGACACAAAGACGCATGCTGTAATGGAGTGGGAGGGTAGGAGGGTGGGAGGGTAAGAGAGTGGGAGGTTGGGAGGATGCGAGGGTGGGAGAGTAGTTGGGTGCTAGGTTGCGAGTGGGAGGTTTGGAGGATTGGAGGGTGAGGGAGTCGGAGAGTGGTTGGGTGGTAGGGTGGGAAGATGGGGGTTTGGAGGCAGAGTATGGCTATATATACTGAGTGTAACTATGTAGAGTAAAGTGAGAGCGTACGTGTTTCCCCTCTAGGGGTTTGTAACAAAACGAATGGCGCTATAAATATATTATAATGCTATATGCGGATTATTTTATATATATGCATTAACAGACGAGTAAGTTTTGGAGTAAATTTGTCAGAGGCATACGTGCGTTTTGGAGTATATTTGCCCCCATGTCAGAGGCATACGTGCGGCTGGGTAAATGAATTTGTAAAAAAAACGTGTATTTCTGTGAATTTTTTCCACAGAAAATGTGGAGCATGGCGTAGGCTATACATGTTCGCATTGCGCTACAAAATCAGGAACCACAAATCGGAAGTTTTCGAATAGTTTGCCTCCGATGGCTCTTCATCTTCGGTTCGGGTCTCACCGATCCGATATCGTTAAAAATGCTTGTTTACTCACAACTTTTCGAACGCCGATTTGCCGTGGCGATGGCATGGGGGCGGCCATCTTGGATTACGGCTGTTAGCTTCCCGGCTGCCGCTTCTTCTGCAGCCCAAATTTACTCGCTCGTATTATGTTACCGAGATGTCCAAATATGGCAACGGCATGTGGGTATATACAGCAGCAGTAGCAGCAGCAGCAGCCGCGCGCGTTTGTGGTGGCTGAGGCACGCGTACAAGCAGGCCTACACACGTCCTGGCTGGCACCCCGAACTATATCATAGCGGGAAAAAATATATATCGTATACACGTACTGTAGCTAGATCTCTCACTCCGTTACGAATTCAGAATGGTGGCAGTTCCGCTGTTAAATGTTCCACCGGGTTGTGTTGTTTGTGTGCGTGCGTGCGTGCGTGTGTGTGTGTGTGTGTGTGTGCGTGCATGTGCGTGCGTGTGTGCATGCGTGCATGCGTACGTACATGTATGTGTGTTTGTGTTCGTGTGTGTGTGTGTGTGTGTGTGTGTGTGTGTGTGTGTGTGTGTGTGTGT